TTAACCCTCTACACCACCAGGCTCCTGGAAAATGCATATCGCCACATTTAACCCTGGGTCGTCAGCTATAGTACATAAGTTTTTCATTCCCAAGGGGCTGCTGAATAAATCCCCCCACCCCCCACCGAAAAGAGGGCCACAATCCAAATACATTTAGTGACCTACGCGATAACACAGGGATCCTTTGCAAACATTTGATCAGATGTTGGAATTTGGCTAAAATGGATCTCAGAAGAGACGGAAACTCGCTCTTAAGCATGTTGTTGTTGTTGTTGTTGTTGTTGTAAGCGCTGTTGAGTCTCTCTGACCCGTAGCCCCCTGTGTACAACAGAACAAGACACCGCCCAGCCCCGGGCCAGCCTCCCAAGTGCTCTCATGTGGGAGCCCATTGTGGCAGCCACTGTGCTAGTCCATCGTGCTGGCGGCCTTCCTCCTTCTTCTGGCCCTCTACTTTGCCACGCAGGACGTCATTCTCCATCCACTTCGGTTGCTCTTAAACATAGAGTGGGGAAAGAAAATGGAAGAAACGATGAAGTCGAACAGCTGAACAGAACAGTTCAAAGGCCAACTCAGGGGGTCAAAGTAAAGGACAATAAAGAAATGCGCCAAGACTCAAAGTTAAATAACCCAAACTGGAAGAGCGCACTTGGCATTTCTGAAGCCGAGAACTGAAGAAATCTGAGTGGCAAATGGCAAGGTGGACGGTTTCTAAGGGCAAACTTTGAGCGATTCAGGAAGCATCAAAAGAAGATGGGCATGCCCCTTAGCATTTGCCCAAGGACAGAGGTCCAAAGGCAGGAAGGATTCGGAAGGAAGGAGGTATGGAAAGGGGAAAAACAGAGAGGAAGTGGGAGGAGTGACGTGACAGTGTGGTGATGGTTTCCACCAATGTCAGGAAACAGTGTGTATTTTTGTTGGTTGAAAAAAAAAACCCGTTTGCTCTGTACACTTTACCCAGTCAACCACAAAAAGTCAGAGAAAGGAGGCAAGGATACACACAGTCACAGCATCAAAAAATAACAACCTGAAAATACCCCAGTCAACTGTTTCAGAAGGGATCATGAGATCAAGAGCCAGTGGTCCTGAAGGACGAACCCCCAATGCAGGCACAAAACAGGGTTCCAGGAATCAATAGACTAGCAAGTCGGTGGTTTCATCAAACAGATGCAATTCTGGCAATGCTCACTCATCTATGCCAAAAAGTTTGGGAGACAGCTCAGTAGCCTGTGGTGGAGTCTGGGCTCTCTAGGGAAGCAAAACTCGTCCTGCTTGTATGTGTGTGCATATAGAAAGAAAGTTATCTCAAGAAGTGGTTTCAACAGCTCTAGGTGTGGGTAAACCCGGTCTGGTTCAAGTCTGCAGGTCTATTGTAAGCTGGAGGCTCCTCTTGGCTCAGGGGACTGCGAAGCAATGGGAAGCAGGAGAGTCATAGGCTCGTGGATACCAAGGCGAATGAATCCGAGGTCAGCCAACAGCTCCTGGGAATGGCAGGCAACAGATCGATGAGCCAGATGTAAGAGCTAGAGCCAACAGAAGGCAGAGGGGCCAGAGGCCTGTGCCCAAGGTTTTTCCCTTATAAAAAAAGGGCACACCTCCAAGAATGTGTCATCAGGTCGTAGCCTGAAGCATAGGTTGGCTCCACCCTACCTTCCCCCAGGCATGTGGAGTTGACGTAAACTCTAACCATCACACCAACACAGACTTGAAGACATTCGCATTTGTGCCCATCCCAAAGAGTTGATCCAAGAGAATGCAGCAGTGGTGGAACCATGTGATTGGTAGAATGATGGATGTGGCCCCACTTCACGTGCAGCGCTGTTGGGTAAGCACCGGCTGCTCACCACGACAAGGTTTGGCAAACCCATTGGCCTCTCCGGAGGATGAAACCGTCGGCTCCCATAAAGCTTCACAGGCTTGGAAACCCGATAAAGGGTCGCAGTACCTGGAAATCAACTCAAAGGCAGCAGGTTTGGGGGTACCTTCTTCCACGGTCTTATGAAAGAGGGTCATTGTTCTTCTCAACCTGAAGCCCTGGGCATTTCTTCTCGAGCGACGGGCTTCTTTGCCAAAGCCATTTGGTTTCCTTCCACATAAAAATTCTATATAAAGACTTTATAACTCAAGACCAGAATTTGTCACTTGATAACTCCACATGGATCTGACCCCTTTGAAGAGAAACTATTTAAGAGGCTCGTCAAGGGGTTGGTAAACCAAGGCCCACGGGCCCAGTCGAGCCCTGAACCTGGTTTTGTACAACTTAAGAGCTAAGAATGATTTTTTTTTTTTACGTGTTGAGAGGATTGTGAAAGGTGGGTAGATGGAGGGAGTAGAGCCACAAAGAAACCAGTGTGCCAAAGACGGTTTTCATGCGGTCCTGGAAACTGAAAACACGGCATCATCTGGCCCTTTGCAGACAAGGTCTTTGGGTCCCGGATAGTCATACTCTTCTTTCCACTGAGGACATTGCTGCGAAGCTGCGGAGACAGGTCACCAGGAGGTGACTGCTGGTTTATTTACTGTGGGAGGTCCAGTGTCTAAGAAGACAGGGCCCTGTCCAGCTTGAGATGGCTCTGTAATACTTACAGAATGGGTAAATGAAGGAATACGTGAACGCCAGTGGTCTAGGAAATAACACACTTTGGAACCCCATGCCCGCAAGAAGAATGACCATATTTGTGTTGGAAAGTGTGCCGCTAGCATGCTCCTTGGTGACAAACATGGTGAGTCTTTGTCTTACAGTACTTTGAGCATGCTACCGGGAGGGGACCAGTCCCTACCGAAAGACAGCATGCTTGGTAAAGCAGAGGCCCAGCAAAACAAGAAAAGAGAGAGAGAGAGACCCTCAACAAGAGGGATTGACACAGCGACTACCACAATGGGCTCAAAGATAGCAAGCATTGTGCAGACGGTGCCAGAGCAGGCAGTGTTTTGTTCTGTGACCCCTGGGGCTGCTGGGAGCCACAGCCCACTCGGCAGGGCCTAGCAACAAGAATAGCATCGTTTGCTTTAAAGACAACACCGAGGGAGGCTTTGGCTTTAAAGTTTGAGGTTTAGAAATGATTCCTGGACAATTGTTTCTGGGGTTGATCCCGCTTCAATGGTTCCAGGTGTTTGTCTTTTAAGGTCACTGCTCTCTGGTGTGTGTGTGTGTGTGTGTGTGTGTGTGTGTGTGTGTGTGTCCCCACAAATCCAGGTCTGTTAAAAACACACTACCATCCATTAACTTTCTGCATCCCCATCTGTATATGAAGGCTCCTCTGCCCCGTGCCCTTGGAGAACTGATGAAGTCAATCTCTGAGCTCCTCACCACCCTGCCCTGAGCTGCATCTCAGGAGGAGTGGGAGGGGCCATCAGGAACGCAAGCATCACGCCCCTCTGGTTCCCAGGCACCACCTGTCTTTGGAAGCATCCTCTGAGCTGTCTTTCCTCCAGGGACTTCTTGGCCACTATCCACCTCCCCTCAAGAGGTGCCTGTTTCCTATCTTTGGCTCTCAGCCTCCTCAGATCTTTCTCTCCATCCTCTGATCTTTCTGGGTTTTAAGGGGAAAGTGTTCCCCCTGATTCTTCATAGTTTCTATTCCCATTTCCCTAGGAGCCCCTGGCACACCTCCCTAGAACCCCGGGGTTCCACCCTGGAAGGCTCAAAAGACCACTGAGTCTTGGTGCGGTTACCACGCTGGCAGGTGGCAGACCTGTCTTGAATTCTAGGTGGATTAGCACTGGCTGGGTGACCTCCGTGAATGGACCCCTTAGTCTTCATCTCCTCCCTCTCAAATGCACATAAAACCATTCCCTGGCAGGATGGTGAGAGCGATTAAATGGAATAATGTGGAATGTAAGCTCTGTGAGGGCAGGGTTTTAGGGTGCCACATCCTTAAAGCACTAGGGACATCTTTGTTGAAGGTAAGGCACTGCAGTGATCAATACGCTACTTTCAAGGTTGACGTGTGATCTTAAAGGTGCCAAATATTTCCAGAATGGAGCGCATTGTAAGCGTACAAAGAACAGCAGTTAAAACAAGACTGACGCCATTTCTCTCAGATAAACCCAAATGTAGGAGAGGGTACTGTGGTGATTCCACTTCGTCAGATGGTGGTGGATACTTCCCTCTTGATAAGGACCGCTGGTCACGTGGGGGCTTACGTGTTGGGCTGCTCACCTCCAGGTCAGTGGTTCAAGCCCACCAGCCGCTCTGAGGGAGAAAGATGAGGCTTTCTGCTCCTGTAAAGATGTAAAGTGTCAGAAACTTGCCAGGGCAGTTCTAATCTGCCTGACGGGGCTGCCGTAGGTAGGGATCGACTCCGTGGCAGGGCCTGAGTCTGTTGCCTATCTTTCTAATAACAATTTTTTTAAGAACACATATACCAGCGTGTTAGTTGGAAACTAACCTGGATGATGTCACGTGGGGGAGTTATCACATCTCTTCAAGGGGTGATTCATGCACCAGCCAACACACCCAAGAAAACCTAAACAAACCTTCAGGGATTTTGACAATGTCCCTTTTCTCCCGGGCTAGTTCCTAGATTTTCGTGTGCTCGTCAACGCGAGAGGAAAAAACAAAATGAAACAAGGCAAATCTCTGCTTTCCCCTTTTGTTGTTATTGACTTTCTGTTGCTGTTGTAAAGAACAAACGGAGGGGCTGTTTCCAGAAACTAGGAAAGTTGACCCAAAACGAAGGACCCAGCTTGGCGTCATGATGAGAATGCTTGGCTGCCCGTCAAACCCGCCAGCCGTGCCAAGGGAGGAAGAGGAGGCATTTGCTCCCATAGAGCCCACAGCCTCGCACCCCCCAGGGAGGAGTTCCTTCCGTCCTGGAGGGTGACTGAGAGTTGGAATCGAATGAATGGCAGTGGGCTTGTTTGGTAGCCTTACCAGAAATCACCATGTGACCCCTTCCAAGCTGAGGACAAAGCGTTTGGCTTTGACTGCGGGCATTTCCCAAGAAGGGGAGGAGTTTGCTTGGTGGGGAATCCTGTGGAACCCTAAAGCCAGCCCCAGTGGTGATCTGAGATCCAAAGTCCTGGGAAGCCAGCACCGCCAGCAGGCACCTTTGAAGCCTGACTTCTCCCAGCTCTCCTCGCTGGGCAGGTAACTGTAATGCTTAACCTGGAGGGGCCCTGGATGCCTTGTGCCCCCTAGATGGCAGAGCTGAGAACCATGTGAGGGCCCCAGGGAGTCGGCAGAAGTGTGTGGAGAGTTAGACCCAGAGGCAAGATGTAGTTGTGAGCTTGGCTTTGCCCTCAATCCTGGGGCTACTCTAAGACCATCCCTCTCTCTGGACCTCCGTGTGGGCATCTTCATGGGGTGGGGGGGCCACCAGGCCCTGAGGGTCATTTCTGATTCTGACACTACTTGGTAGAGAAGGTGTTCTCTGTCCAGCCGCGTGGGCATCCCCAACCCCTCTACCCACCCTCTCCTTTCCTGTGTGTATAGCCCAGTTCTCCCAAGGGGGGAGAGGGGGTGAACCTGGCAGCCCCCGCTGACCTGGCCCAGGACGCTGCTCTCAGGAATCCTGGGTCACCCCGCAGGGCTGGGAGGTGACACTGCCTCCCTGGGTGGGTGGACAGGCCCGGCCACTGAGAAAGGAGCTAGATTGCTTCGAGGGTCCAATTCTCCCAGAGAGACAAGCCCCTGCATTCTAGAAATCACTGCCTTGGGAGGAAAATGCTCCTGGCTCGTGGCTTTCTGCAGCAGTCTAGTCCTGCCATGAACCAATATCTGGGTCCTCCATCCCTGGGCTTGTCTGCAAGGACCTTGAGGGCTTCCTGTCCCTGTCCAGACCTCCTCTCTCTCTATTCTCCTCCCCCACTCTGCCTTCTTCTCTCCTCCCTTCCCCTTCTACTTGCCTGGCCCCTTCTCCTCCTGTCCCCACCTCTCAAGCTGCCCCTCACCTGAAAACCCACTGCTATGGATTCTGACTTGTAATAAGCCCCAAGGATCCAACAGAATCTTTTCCTTATGGTTCTCAAGGCTGTTGATGGGAGCAGATTGCCACATCTTTCTCCCTCAGAGCAGCTGGCTGGTTTTGAACTGCTGACCTTGCAGTTATCAGCCCAACTCATAACCCACAACACCACCAGGACTCCAGGAATCCGCTCCTCAGCTCCAGTGGATTCCAAGCCAGGTGGACAGAGGCCAGAGGAGGTGCGGGTAGAGAAGCCAGTGCACTGCAGGGCTGGGCTTTGAAACCAGTCCTCTCTGGGGCTCTTGGGACCCAGTCCCAGGGTCCTTTGGACAGAGGTGACTCAGGTGGCCGTCATCATTTCTGGGCCACTCAACAGCTTTGGCAGAGACAGAAATGGCGGCTGGGGAGCTTCCATCGCTTGCTGCAACCACGCTGGTCTCAACGGGTCACACAGAGGCCCCAGGACAGGCTTCTTAGACTCTGAAGGCCCCTTCCTTTCCCCTCCACCAAGAAAGAATAACCCATCAACCTCTGAGCCTTTGAGTCGATCCGATGTGTGTGACCCCTAGTGTGTGGAAGTAGAACTACATACAGTCTAGGGTTTCCAGAGTTGTGACCCTTGGGGAGCTGATGGCCAGGGGCTCCTCCACTAGAGGCTGCAAAGAAAGTTCTCTGGCCTTTCCACCAACCCTCACCGAGGCAAGTCCATGTCCAGACACTTTCTGGGTTCCCTCTCTAATGGCACGGGCAGCTGGGTCCCTGCCCCCGGCGTCACAGCTTGAGGCTGAGGGTTTGAAAGAGACTCTGGGGTTGAACTAACTGGGGGCAGGTTCCTTCACTGGTTCTACTCCTTGGGCAGTGGGTGACATGGGGAGAGGGCGCCCTGCCTTCTGATCCCCTCTGATGGCAGCCCACCCCCATTGGGAGCTATAGTGGAGGAGGCCCCCGATGGGTCAGCTGCTTCACGCCAACTCCAAGAGTCCGGCACACCTGGCCCTTCCTCTCCTTTGCTGCGTGACTGTGGGCAAGCCCCTTCACCTCTCTGTGCTTGCTCTCTTCCCTGGGGAAACCACAACCATTACAGCACCTACCTCCAAGGGTGGGACAGGGCGCAACAGCTAGGCCTGAGCAGTGGTGTCCCCGGAGCAGGCCACATGCATGGGGGAAGGGGCAGCTGAGCAGGGAAGGACCCCAGACCACAGGGAGTGTAGTGGGCATGTGGGCAGGGCTCTGGCTGAGCCGCTGTGACGTAAAGGATCTTTGTTTTCAGGGTTGAGAATGGCGAGGATGCTGCCTCTCTTGGCGGGTCTCTTGGTGACGGGGCTCTGTCCTACGGTCCTGTGCCACTCAGACGGCACACTTGGTGGGATGAATCAGACCGAGGGAGACAACCAGACCCGTCTGGATGACCTCAGGTTCGCCGACAGCAACACCGACTTCGCCTTCTCCCTCTACAAGAAGCTGGCCAGGAATGACCCCAGCAAGAATGTTGTCTTCTCCCCCATCAGCATCTCTGTTGCCTTGGCCTTCCTCTCCCTGGGGGCCCGGGGCACCACCCAGATGGAGATTCTCAACGGCCTGAAGTTCAACCTCACGGAGACCTCCGAGGCTGAAATCCACCAGGCCTTCCAGCACCTTCTGTTTGTCTCCAACCAGCTCAACAGCCATCTGGAGCTGAGCATGAGCACCGCCATGTTTGTAAACGAGGCGCTGGATCTGCTAGGGGGGTTCCAGGAGGACGCGAAGGCGCTGTACGGGGCTGAGACCATCCAGGCCAACTTCCGTGATGTTGCCGCGGCCAAGAAGCTCATCAATGACTACGTGGAGAGGAAAAGCCACGGCAAAATCCAGGACCTGATCAGCAGCCTAGATCCGGAAACCACGATCATCCTGGTGAATGCTATCTTTTTTAAAGGTATGTGTGGATTGGGGTAGCTGGGAAGGGGGGGGGGGGCAGACTTTTCATTTTAAAATGGGTAACTTCTGTGCTGACTGAACACACTGATTACTTGAAGCTTGAAGAGAACAGGGAACTCTGGTGGCACCATGCCCACCGGCATCACTTTCCCCAGGGCCCGGGCGTCTTGGGGAAGGATACAGGACAATCTCGCCATCTTCACTCACTAACACTGGGTCGATTTCAAGCCATAGAAAGCCTGTAGGGCAGGGTGGACTGTAACTCTTTGGGGGAGTAGAAGCCTTCGTCTGTGGGTTCAAACCACTGACCTTGTGGTTATAAGTCCAACACATAACCACTGTGCCACCAGGGCTCCTTCATCTCGCCATAATTCCAGGAGAGACATGGTTGTCCAAGATTGGCTGTTGCCGTTGGGCATTGAGTGGATCCCACGTGCACAGAGTAGAACTGCTCTAGGGGGGGTTTCAAGACGGCAACCATTGGGGAGTAGAGAGAGGGGCCTTGCCTTCTTCTGAAGCACCCCTGGGTGGGCTCAAGCCATCAGCCTTTCAGCCAGTGGTTGAGCCCTTAACCATTCGCGCCACCCAGGACTCTATCTCAGTACTTCTGGGAGATTCCCAACCAGCCCACGCGTCCCTTCCTCTCCTGTCTCTTCTGTGGGTCCTTTGGGGGTTCTCCTTGGGTCATGCGGGTTCTTATGAATTGGGAGCCAGGCAGGAGGGGGCATCCTGCCCATTGAGGGCTCAAGTCCACCCTGCAAGGGCATCTGTGCTTCTCTCGCCCCCTCCTCGCCTGGCCTCCACCCCACCTTCTGAGTTCTCATTTGCTCATTGCTCCAGGTAGGCTCCCAGACACCTGCCCACTTGTGTGTGACGGGACCTGGTCATTCCCAAGGCTGTGGTTTTCAGACTCAGGAAGTCCTACATCCGAGCATGCTCGATCTGCTCTGATGCAGGTCAGGTTAGGTGGACACTCAGTGCTCCACAAGTATTAATGCCTCCTCTTCTGGTGGCCTTCTCCCCACGTGGTCCAACTGGCCCATGAGGAAACACCAAACGCACTGCCCTCGAGTCTTCCGACTCATAGATCTACCCCCCCCACACACACCCTAGGGCAGCACAGCACTGCTGCCTAGCATTTCCACGGCTGTAAATCTTACGGGAGCAGACAGCCTCTGCTTTCTCCCACAGAGTAGCTGGCGGGTTTGAACTACCAACAGTTCAATTAGCTGCCTCGTGCAGAACCCACGAAGCCCCCAGGGTTCTTTATGAACTAAACTCGATTCCAACTCATAGTGATGCTGTAGGACAGAGGAAAACTCCCCTCTGTGGGTTTCCCAGACTGTAAATCTGTAGGAGAATAGGAAGTCAGTACATGAGTAATGATTTTTTTGTGGCCATTATACATACCCCCATTTGTGGAGGGTGGATATTTTCTATTGACCTGCAAGACAGCACAGTGTGTGTCTGCAGGGAAGGGAGTTAAAGCCTTATAATTAGCAGCCCAGGGTGCAACCAGTTACACCCCAAGGCTCGGGACCACATGATGCTAGAACTGCATGGTTCACTTTAGGAGAGGAAGGTGGGGTGGAGACCATCCAGTCCAGAAAGGAAGACTAAAGGATTCCCCTGGGGAGGAGGTGATGGGAGCCGGGGACTTGGGATCTAAGGGGAGGTCTGAGCCAGTAACAAGGACTGTGTATGGTCCATAGGAGCAGACATCACCCAGGTGTCCTCTGAGACCCACCTTGGTTTTTGAGGGGACTATTAACTTTGGCCAGCACCCCTTTGGGGAAGGCAGCGCCCCAGCAACCAAGAAGCAACCAGCGGTCCCGGGATTGTCCTCTAAAGTCTCCCTACTCCTCCAGCCTGTCCATACTGACGGGCATTCTCTGCTGCTCACCTCTCACAGACCGGATGGAGAGCCCATCCTCTTACCTCCCACTTCCGTCCAAAATCATTCGGGGAGCCCTTTGGGAGGAGAGCAGAAGCGCTGGACTGCCAGGGGGCTGGTTGTATGTTTACAGACCAGCAAGTCCTACGACCCATCAGTCCCTTGACTGCTGCCCCCACCCTCCCCCCATCCAGCCTCCCATGGGGCCTGGCTCTCTTTCCTACCCCAGCCCTCCCCTCTCTTCTGCACATCCCAAACTCCAGGAGATTTCTCCTCTAGCATCCCTTAGGCCCCCAACCCTCTTCCCGGCCTGGGTTTGTGGGGTTGCCCTCTGCCCCCAACAACTTAGAGGCCTGTCGAGGCATCTTCCAAGCCAAGCTGGTGCCATCACCAAGAGGCACTTTCAGGTGGTGGGTGCTGGGGAGGGAGGGGGCGGGGGGCAGGGGTGGGAGGGGGGGAGCACAGCATCTCCTCCACTCACCCCGGCCTCTGACCTCTTGCTCCCCATGCCGCTTAGCCAACTGGCAGAATCCCTTTGACCCCCATGACACAATCAAGTCCAAGTTCCACGTGAGTCAGACCAAGTCCGTGAACGTCCCCATGATGGAAATTGAAGACCTGGCCATCCCTTACTTCCGGGACCCGGAGCTCTCCTGCACCGTGTTGGAACTGAAATACACCGGCAACGCCAGCACCCTTTTCATCCTCCCCGACAAGGACAAGATGGAGGACGTGGAGGCCAGGCTGTCCCCAGAGACGCTGCGCAGGTGGAGAGAGTCACTGAGGACCAGGTGACCACCCCCAGGGCCCTGAAGTGGGTGGGGGCTGCCCACCTTGCTTCCCAATCCCTACCCCCCTGCCTGCCGTCCCCCCTGCCCTGACTGTTCTTCCTCAGCTCTCCGTACCCCAAGACTCAGCATCACACCACCTCAGGGCCAGGGAGACGTGGGATACCAGGGCATGGGCCCGGAGTGCTGGGAGCCCTAACCAAGGAGGGTGGAATTATGGGGCTTTCATTTTTACTCTCTGAGACGATGGCGCTGGCATCAGCAACAAGCTGAGGCACGTGACTCTCACATGCTCTGCGTCTTCAGGGATCTTCAAAGCCATGTCCACTACACACCCGTGTGTTCTCTTTGGCTTTTTCTCTCTCTGATAGAAGGGACAGAGGGACTTGGGGCCCGGGGAGGGCCGAGCCGAGCTGAGCTGGGCGCTGCGAGTCAGCACCACACTGGCTATGGCACTCGCTCACGCATTCGGGGCCTGTCCTCCGCACACCTGCTACACGCCGGGCATTACTTCAGACCCTCTGACGGTGTCACCAAATGGTCGGCCTGTCATGGATCTCACTTGCAATCCAGGCGAGGCAGGCCAGAAATAAACCAAATCCATGAGGAAACGCTTTGAGAGATGAGAAAGGGGGAAACGCAGTGTGGGGAGGCGGGGGAGCCAGGGACGGGATCCAGAGAACTGGCCTGGAGGCTGTGTCCGAGGGACTGGATCCTGCAACGATTTAGAACAGGAGAGCCGGCGAACTTTGGAGACGGAAGAGCCCACCCTGTCCCTCCAAACCATTTAAGTTCTCCAAGAGCCATAGACAGATATTTTTACAGACAAATGAGCTCGGCATTCTCTGGGTAGTGCCCTTATGGTTTCCATTTCAATGGCACTTTAGAGGCACACGTAAGGGCCAAGGGATCCGCAGAGGGCTCTCGAGCCCCTGACCTGGAAGCAAAGCTTTCCTCTGTTAAGGACATCCAGGGCAAAGGCTCTCAAATAGACGGCGGGGAGCCTGGACTGTTTGAGGGGTCACCAGGGGCCAGCGTGTCTGGAGCAGAGTGAGGGAGAGAGTTGGGAAAGGTACTGGGTCCCAAGGGTGGGGGCTGGCAGGCGGCATAGGGCATGTCAACTCCTAAGAAACCCCGTCTCTCCCTGAGTGAAATGGAGCCGTAGAGTTGAGGGAAGAAAGCTCCAGGGGCGGGTGGGGACACCAGAGGCCCGCTGGGAGCCTGGTGCTACCATCAGGTGAGAGCTATGGTGTCTGGCATGAGGGAGGAGCCGAGGAGGGCGGTAGTAGAGCCACAGGCTGTGCCTTGGCAGTTAGGTTGCCAATACTCAGGGCATAAGCAGGGGCTCTGGCTCCAGACTCTGGAGTAGGGCTGCAGATTCCTTCTGGAAAGTTCTGTGAGAACACCTATCCCACATCTCTCTCCTGGTTGCCTGGTGCCTGCTGACGGTCCTTGGCAATCCTTGACTGGTCACCCTACAGCTCCCACTCCTGCCCCACTGTTGTACGGCCTTCTTTCCTCTGCGCGCCTTGCCGTGGCTCTGCGCCTCCAGGTCTCTAAATGTCCCTTTCCTTGTATGGACACGCGTCATTGGCTTTCTGCTTCCACCCAAAGCAGCGATTACCCTAGTTCCAGAGAAGGTCACAGCCACAGGTGCCAAGCGTGGGACTTCGATGCATCCCCGGGAGGCACCATTCAACCCAGAGCCAGCACTTGCAGATATTAATGGATAACTTATGAGTTCATCGAATTAACGAATCAACAGACACACGTGGACAATTCATGAATGAATTGACTCGATGAAATAATACAGATATAATTGGGTAACTCATGAATTCATGAATGAACAGAGATAGATAATCCATGAATTAATGAAACTCATTCATTGCCGAGAGTATGTGCAAGAGCTCCAGAAGCTACGGAACAATGACTTACTTCTAGAGAGAAAGAGGCAAGAGAAAGACGAGGCTTTCTACTCCCGTAAAGAGTTACCATCTTGGAAACCCACAAGGGCAGTTCTACCCTGTCCTGTAGGGTCGCTACAAGGGGGAACTGAGTCAACTACAGGGGGGTTTGTGTTTTGTTTTGAGAGGGCGGGTGAGGAGAGGAAGTCAGGTAAGAGCAGGAAGGTGGTCACCAAGCCTGAGCTATCTCTTCTCATTTCCTAGCGTGATTGATGAGCTCTACCTGCCCAAGTTCTCCATCTCCGGCAGCTATGACCTGGACAAAGAACTTCCCCAAATGGGCATGAGGAGAATTTTCAGCAACCAGGCTGACCTGTCAGGGATCACAGGGGTCAAGGATATGAAGGTCTCACAGGTAAATCTTCCAACTGAGGGTGGCTCCTCCTCTGTACCTTAACTTGAACAGAGACGGCCAGTAAGATGTTTGGGAAATTGGGGTTGTTGCTGTTGTTGTTGTTGTTAAATGCCATTGAGTTGGCTCGGAAGTGTCCGTCCATCTTGTTCAGGGTCTTCCTCTTTTCTGCTGCCCCTCTGCTTTCCCGAGTATGATGGCCTTCTCCAGGGTCTGGTCTCTCCTGACCACATGTCCACAGTATGTAAGAGGAAGTCGTGCCCTCCCTGCCTCTAAGGAGCTCTCTGGCTGGTCTTCTTCCAAGACAAAGCAGTCTGTCCTTTGAGCATCCCATGGTACTTTCAGTATCCTTCTCCAGCACCGCAATTCAAAGGCACTGACTCTTCTTTGGCCCTCCTTATTCAATGTCCAACATTCACATGCATATAGGAGACAGTGGAGAACACCATGGCTTGGGTCAAGCACACCTTAGTCCTCAAAGTAACATCCTTGCTTTTCAATGGTCTGAAGAGGGCTTGTGCAACAGATATACCCAATGCAGTGTGTCTTTTGATCTGTTGGCTGCTGCTTCCGTGAGCATTGATTGTGGATCCAAGCAAGCTGAACTCCTTGGCAACTTCAGCCTTTCCTGCATTTATCCTGATGTCACCTATGGATCCAGTGGTGAGGGTTCTGGTCTTCCTGACATTGAGCCGGAATCCCTTCTGCAGGCTGCACTCCCCGATCTTCATCAGCAAGTGCTTCAAGTCCTCGTTACTTAACAAGATTGACTACTTCCCATAGTAGATAGTTATTGTCATTAGTTTTTATCAGGCCACCCTTCCTGGTACCCCGCCCCAAGCCCAGGACACCTGTGTTCAACCCAGCTCTGTTGCCATGGATGGAACCTGAACCCAGCTCAAAATGTCATGGGGAGAGCCTGGGCTTGGGTCCCATCCCAAGCACCACTGTTTACTTCTTGTGTGTAGGCCATTTGAGCCATCTGCCCATCAGTCTCCTCATCTGTGAAATGGGATGACAGTGGTTGAGTGGCATGAAGAGCCTGGCATGGCAGGAAATGAGCACCCTCGCACTGGCTGTCCATTCCTCAGAGCGGTCGGAAGAGAGGGACCTCTGAGCCCGGAAGAGAGGGACCTCTGAGCCACGCTCCCTCTCCACACACCAGGCACTGCCTACACCTTCCAGAAGGGCATGGGGATGTGTGTGAGGAGGGGCCTCGGGGGTCAGGGAGACCCAACAGCCAAGACTGGCCTGTCAGGGGTGCTATGGGCCTGGCTGTGTCCCATGGGGTGCCTGAAGCCAAGCTTCTGCTCAAAGACCTTGCCCTGCACTCATCCCTCCCCTGCACCAGGGCGGTGGCAGGGGATATCCCAGACTGTGGGCTCAGAGGAGGACCTGGAGCAGACTACCCCCCCGACACCCCGCTCTTTGCCTACAGGACCCTGAGCAGATCACACACAGGCTCTATGCCTCCGTTTGCCCGTGTGTGCAATGGGACTGTGCATACGAGCGGGCAGGGCTGGTAGGGCTAACTACAGCTAACAAGAAAAGCAGTAGTGCCATGAGCCAGGAGCAGGCCTGGTCTGGCTGCGATGCATGTTGGCCCCTGAGCTGCCCTAAGCCTGGAGGCATACCTCCCACTCCCTGCCCTCTGCCAGTGGCTGATACTCTGGTCTCCTCCCTTCCCCCATCCCAGGTGGTCCACAAAGCCCTGCTCAGTGTGGGTGAGATGGGCACAGAAGCAGCTGCAGCCACGGGAGTGAAAATGATACCTCTCTCCGGAAGATGGGGCCAGCTGAGGATTGTGAACCTCAACAGACCTTTCCTGATGGTCACGCTCACCAACAGCCAGCGCATCCTCTTTCTGACCAGGGTCTGCAACCCCACGCAGGCCTAGAGCACGTCGCAGCATGGCCTAGCCAGGAGCAGAACTGGGCGCTGTCTGAGCTGCACCCTGTCCTCTGCCCGCAGAGCAGCTGCCAGGTGGGCCATGACAGTGTGGCCGTGACCCTGTGTGGGTCCCAAGTCTAACCTGTGCAGAGGCTCCGGCACCTCCTAGCAGTAATAAACCATCTTCCTCCCATTGCACCTTTTCCTTGTGTCTTTTGATTCCAACCCTTCTGACCCTACTGAGCCTTCTGACCCTCCTGGCTGCCCCTGCCCAGGAGCCAACCCCCCCAGACTGCTGGTGAGGCTCACCCACACCTGTTCTGGCCCGCCACAACCTGGCCCGGCAGACCCCACTTACAACCGCAGACCCGGTGGTGACAGGCTGCTCCTTGGAGAGTCTTGCCTGTGTGCTGGTTTCCCAATCCCACCTTCTCAGGCCAACGTCTCTGGGAGGGCGTTGTTTCCTGAAAGAGGGGTGATGAGTCACGGCCCAAGCCGAGGTGTAGCGGCGGGCCGTCTGTTTTCAGGAGAGGGGCGCAGGGGGACCACGTCCTCAGGCAGACGAGGAATCTCAGGAGAACCCCGCACCCCCGTGCTCTGCTGAGCCGTCGCAGAGAAACAGAAAGAAACAGATGTCCAAGGAGAGGTCACAAGGAGAGAAGGCACCCAGAACCTCCACTTCTAGCAGCCCGACCCAGAACCCCCTGCAGGGGGGTAGGTGCCGTGTGGCAGGGTAGGTTTGCCCTCCATGGCTAAGCCAGGGGTGGGCAGTTCCAACCCAGCCCCACCATGGAAGAAGAGCCTGGTGATTTGTTCCATCACGATGACTCCCTACCCCCACCCCCCTCCCCCACCCCCACCAAAAAAAAGCAGCCCCACTGCCAGGAGTGCATTCCAGCCCGCAGTGACCCGGTGGCACAGAGGAACCACTCCTTTGGGTTTCCAAGGCTGTCACCATCATGAGAGCAGACTGCCACACCTTTCTCCCAGTGGCCGGCCCCTCTGGCCCTTTTGTTAACACCCAAGCGCTTAACCCCGGTGCCACCAGGCCTCCTGCCATGCCAATTTCAGCCACGAAACCCACAGAGCAGTTCTCTTCCCTCAGACATGCGGTGGCCAGGAGTCAGAATGGGCAGCTTTGGTTTGGGTGGGGGCTGGGGCAGGGAGGGAGACCCTGGTGCCAGTTGCCATGACACTGTGCAGGTGTGTGGTACCCAGGTGCACCAGCAGTGCACACAAACGCACATGGGGCGCGGACAACTAGAGCAGAAGTCAAGGTTTGCTTCCAGTCAGAAGTGGACACATAGGGAAAATGACCATCGTTGGAGCCGAGCGTCATTCAGAGGAGGGATGCCGTCTATTCCGGGATGGAGAAATCCGCAAGGGGTGGCTGCAGGGACTGGTGAGGAAAGATGGAGGTATCTTGAAACAGGGGGAGGCTTGCAGGTTGAAGACTCACATGTTGTTGAAAGGTTTCCACTTCTCCTGCCCGCATTTGAGACAGATGCAAACCCAAACCAAACCCACTGCCCTCGAGTAGATTCTGAACGATAGTGGCGCCTAGGACAGAGAACTGCTCCCAAGGCTGTAAATCTTTACAGACTCCAACTGCCTCAGCTTTCTCCCACAGGGCGGTTGGTGGATTCAAACCACCAAGCTTTCGGTTAGCAGCCAATGCATAACCTGCTGTGCCACAAGGCTCCCCCATGCAGATGTTCCCAAGGGGAAACAGAAATTCCACCCGCTTTATAGCCTTCCGTTGTCTTCTCAGACCCTGTCCCCCTGTTCCAGCTCCCCACAGTGACTTTGGGGGTGGGCGGCAGACCTGGTTTCGTCTCTGTTGTCATTTAATAGCTGGAAAGATTCCCACGGTCCCTGACTCTCCCTGGCCCTGGCATGGAACGGATCTGAGAATATGCCTCTAGTCTAGGGGACTGTCAAAAAGATGACAAATAAGGATGGTGCCCCAACAAAACCTCACTGCCACCCAGTCAATTCTGACTCGCCGTGACCCTATAGGACCGAGAAGAACTCTCTTTGGGGTTTCCGAGACTATTTCTCTTGATGGGAACAAAGAGGCTCATCTTTCTTCCGAAGAGCGCCTCGTGGGTTCACACTGCTGTCCTTGGGGTTCGCACTCAGTGTGGGGCCCACTATGCTACCAGGGTGCCCCAGGAAGCACAGTCACCCATTTCACAATGACATAGCCCCTGCTCCACTCAGGCCCACCAGGAACCTGCTCCTGACATCTAAGTGGCTGACACTCTGCTGTCCCCGAGGTTCTGTGTGGCCAAGAAGGTCACAGGAGCATCTTGTGTCTGCCCGGGGAGGCTGGCTGACCACTGTCCCTTTCTACAGGCCCATCCCTTCTTCCAGCTTCTCCTCAAACACCCAGCCTCCTCTTTGTGGGCAAAACCACCCGTCTCTATGAGGAAAAAGCTTGTGTCGGGACTCAGAAAGCAAACTGGGCTCATTAGCGGCCATCGAGCCAGCTCCCGCTCAGGGCGACCCTGCATATAACAGAATGAAACATTACCTGGTCCTGCCCCATCTCCATGCCAGCAACCTATTGGACAGCATCCTGTTGTGGTCCATGGGTTTTCATTGACTAATTTTCAGGAGTAGACCACTAGGGGTTTATTTCTTCTCAGTCTGTTTCCCTCTGGAAACTGTGCTGGAACCTGTCCACGATGGGTGAGCTGACAGGTATTGTACATGGCACCCAGCTCCAAAGCACTCACAGGCCACCCCAGCTAAACGAGCGGACAGACCGGGAACTGGAGCTTACCATCCAGGGAGATGACACCCAGCAGGAGAACAGTGCTTCATGAGGGAGACGATGAGTTCACATACATAACCAAAGAGTCTGATATGCTTGCGATCAAACCACGTCTGAACCACGTGTGATTAAAAAAAAGTCCATCCTCCAGGAAAAGGAGAACAGGACGCAGTTGGGTGGATGGATCTGAAACAAAGATATGAGACGCCATGGGAAAGGCTGAGAGTCCACGGGGCAAATCATAGAGATGAGCATCTGAGAGATCATTTTCAAGCATATTCACCGTGAGAGAAAAATCGTGGAAGGAAACTCAACATCATGAGTCTAGGTTTACTGGTCTGATAAGAGACCGGTGGAACCCACAAGACAATGGCACTAGGTCATCCTTTAGATAAGCTGAACTGACCCCTCGGCCCATTTTCCACCAAACAGCCGTCAGGCCTACAAGGAGAACAATGACTGGGAGTTATTCAGCCACGTGAGATCAAAAAGACACCATTTAGTCAAGGATGAAGTTCAGAAGGGTTAACGAGAGGACGAGGGATGGAAACAGGCAAATCAGAGAGAAGTGAGGAAGGTTGTGTTACCTAGAGGGACTGAAATGAGTGAGGTGAAACCAAATGCGTATGGATTGTTGGATGGAAACCTGGTGAGGGTTCTGTCACCCTCCATCAATTCACAAGGAAAACAAGGGCAAAGGGGGTACCCACAAGGAAGGGATAAGGACAAAGATGAGAGGTCACTGAGAGATGGAAAAGGAGTAGGAATGGAGCTAGGCGCTGGGCAGCAGGAAAGGGAGGATAGACAGGCAGTGTCTACACTAGAGGCTGGACATAACCCAACAAAGTGACCCTGAAAGGACATGTATGGTTGACACGAGGGGCAGAAACCAAACTGGAGAGGCTTCCGGTGAGATTCAGTGCGCAATAGGATCTCAGCAAACGTCGATGCTTTGAGAATGATGACAGCAACAAATATACAAATGTGCTTGACACAGATGGATAGATGGATGGATGGATGGATGGATGGATGGATGGATGGATGGATGCATTGTGATAAGAGCTGTATAAGCCCCCAATAAAATGATTAGAAAGAAAGAAAGCATCCATCTAATTGAGACATCAACTACGTTCACATGGAAGAAGCACAGGAGCCTGTAAGATCTAAGGATGATAAAGAATATCATCAAAACCAGAGGGAGGGAATGGTATCAGAGCTCACACGGTGAACACCGGATGTGCAGAAGCCTGTGCTGGACAGTGGGAGCCCAAAATCCATGAACAAGGTCCACCTGTGGGTTAAGCCTCTGATGAATCCCCTCTGACTGTGGTTGAGGGATGTGAGTAACACTGGTGTCAGACAGAGTATTAGGAATGCGACGATGGCAGATCCAGTTAGGTTAAAATGTGACACCTGATCATTTGATCGCCCTTGGACCCATTTTAAATTTGTTCTGATTTTTTAAATGTCCTGCTTTCTCTCAATTGATGTATTTTTCTCTAGTTTATTTCATTATTGTGGTGGTGGTTTTTTTTTTTCTTCTCTTGCTGTTTTTATTTCTTTTTTGTATGTTTTCCAGTATAGGAAATCCAGGATAGGTAAATCTCTAGAGACAGTAACTGGATGAATTGCCTACTGGGGGTCTGGGAGGGGAGGTTGGAAGGAAATGAGGAGCCAATAATGAGTACAAGAAGGGGGTGGGGAGGCTCTAGAACTGACTACCGTGATGATTGTGACTCTTTGTAATATGACTGAACGAGGGAGGTGTATCATACGTGAATTATATGTCAATATAACTTTTTAAATTAAACTTTCAAAAATGTGGAGTCATAAGAAATGAGAAACAAAATTGCTGAGAGGAGTGTCTGGAAGTGAGGGACGGGGCTGCTGTGACGAGAACCTACAACGTGTGCTCTCGGCTCTGGTGCTGGGCACTGAGTTGCAGGAGCCTGGAGAGGATGTTAGGCAAGGCCTCGAGGGCTTGGGGAGGAAACTGCTGGAGGCCTAAGAGTTTCCTGGACACGTTACTGGAAGCTGTCATAAAGCTTGTTATGCACTGCCCACAGAAACTCCACTGCTGAACTCTGATCGTTAGGGTTTATTGCGCCAACCTGGCTGATGAGCACGTGTGGGATTCATTGAAGGGCCGAGGGATAAATGGCTCAGCGAGCCTTGCCTTTCTTGTTCTCTGGCCTCTTGTTCTCTGATGGTCAGACCAGTGTGCAGCTGCCTTAGCTAGTGCTTTGCCTCAGCTGGCAAGGCTCATTTCCTGTTGAGACATCCTTGAGGAGAAGCCGCATGGACCTACCCCGATGCAGCCTTGGGCACTGGAGAAGCCGCGTGGAGACCCCTGCCAGCGCTGAGATGCTTACACACTTACTGATTCGGCTTTCCTCCTGCAGGCGGCGTCATTGCGTGC